CCCGAGTGCGGGCGAGTGGGGCCCCGAGGGCCCCGCGGGGGCGAGCGACACAGGGACCTTCCCGAGTCTCGAACGCGGAGTAAGAAGTCGCCAGGCCCGCCAGGAGGTGAAGGACGACCTCGGCCTGGGAACTTGAGAAGCATAAAACGTGGATGCTTAAAACCGCAGGTCCTTGTGAAGTGAAATGCTGTGGGGCTGCAAGGGGCTGGAGTTAGGTAGTCACGGTGGCTCCGCTGGAGGAGGCATCACGAGGTCACAAAAATGGAATCTACTTATGGCTGGGGAGAAAATGTGCACTTCTCAGAGCAAGCCTCAGGCGTCCCATTTGCTGCCTCCGGTGTGGGCTCTTAATGGTTGATAATCGCCTAGTAACTGCCCCCAATCCCCTGTCCTCGGACAAAACTCCACCAACAGGATAGGTCCTGCGCTTAGTGCAAGCAGTAAGACATTGCTTGAACTTTGGGTGCAAGCTGGAGAATACCCGGAAATGAGACAGCTCTTATACCCAGAGGTAAGTCCCGCAGGGGTTTGCATGGGTATAGAAGGTCCAAGAGTCAGGGCTTCATGCTGTGGGCAATTGAAAGGCATCCCCAAGATTTGCATTTTAGAAATCTAATGCTGAGTAGTTGGATGGATAAGAAATCCGTTAGGAGGCCCTTTTTTCATTGGCGATGGAAGATAATGAGAGCTTGAACCACAGTAATAGGAAAGGAAGAGAGCTGTGGAGCCAGGAAATGGTGGGTATCCAGAATCACAGGGGTTAACACCAGAGAGCCTGGAGGGCTGATCACTGAGAACCCAGATACTTACAGAGTCAGAGACCCTGCCTCCCTTGTTCACCAGTGTTGTCAAAGCACCATCGACTCCCTCACTGCAAAAGCATATAAAATAATGCTGCCATGAGGCATCATTTGGCTAGTAGGTAATTTTTTTATCATAAAATTGCATTTTAGCATTAGAATAAGTGTAAAGATCAGGAAAATGAACTTTTAAAAATAAAAGGCTCTTAAAAATCATGATCACTTATATTTAGGTTTTTAGGTACCTAATTTAGCAGTTATAAACACATGGCTTATAATGGGAAATCAGATAAACATCCTCTCTCACTTTCGTAACTTTACAGGGTTCATCAAGAAATTTCTCTTAGAGGGTTGGTTATGCTAGAATGGAGCTTGTAGCAAAGGAAGTAGAAATTAGATCTCACAGCTGCAGTTTCAGATCCAAAGATTGCCTGTTTATACTAATTTCCACAATCCTTGAACCTGAATTTTCATCACCATTAATACGTGTCTAGGTACTCCACCAGTCAGGAGGGACATTACCCAGGGTACCTAGGTAGAGGATCCCAGAACCATTGTCAGAAGAGCCAAATTCATAATCAGGCTACTGTCCCACTGAATCAGTAGTTTGGGGGAGAGTTCAGAACAGGTTCAAATGTGAGAGCAGTAGGTCAAAGTGGGGTTTCAGGACTGAGCAGGTACCAGGGAACCCCTTTATGTGATAAACCTTGTATCAGGGGAGAGAAGTCTTACAAAAAAGAGTCACGAAATGAAGGAACTGGACCTAAATAGATTGTAAAAAATTGCTAATGAAAATGCTTAGAGATTATTGCTGAGAGAATATTCCAAACATATTATTCCAATTATCCCCTCTCTGACCAGTCTATTAGACAACCGGAAAAGTAATGAACAACTGTTAAAAGTTTTTTTTTAAAAAATCATAATCCAAATAAATGTTCAGAGCCTAGCATAGAGATAGTAGCAAACATTAAAATAAACAGTTGCTTAACAATATAAACTCTTTAGATTTGTACATATACAACATTGCCATCAATGTTGACAGTAGATGAGTAACAAAAATAATGACACTTACAGTATATATCTGGTTGTTTTCTCTATTTTTTCTTTTATTAAAGACAATCTGTTAAATGAATGAAACATGATTTAATCTCCATATCTACAGCTTCTAATGAAATTAGTTTATCTACCAGAAAAAGAATTCAGTGTCAGACGTGACCAGATTTTTGGTTCATAAAGCAGAGTCATCAGTGTAGAAGGAGAGAGGAGGGATTGACTAATTTTGCCTGGGGAGGTCTTGCAAAGAGGAAGTGGCTTGAGCTGGCTTCTGAAATGTGAGCTGGCAGGGAAGGGGAGCTCGGGCAAAGCACAGATGTTTGGGAGACGATGTTGAGCATAGGGTTTGTGGGGACAGCGAAAGGACAAAATGTTCCCTGAGTATCTCACTTCTGCCATAGTCCCTTCTCCCTGGAATGCCCTTCCCACCTCCCACTCCCACCACTTACTTAAAGGTCTAAATTTATATTTTACCACTATGTAAATCTTCTCTGACTTCTCAAACCTGGGTAAGGTCCCCAACCGTCGGAGCTAATCTCCATCTGAACACTTGCTTCTGTAGCGTAATTGCCTGTCCATTTGTCTTGTCTTCTCTACTAGAGTGAATGTTCCTTAAGGGCAGGTTCTGCGTGCACTGCTGTATTCCTAGCCCCTGGCTCAGTGTCTAGCACACAGCCCTGAATATCTCTTCTCCTATTTATCATCTCCTTATGCTTCAGGTCTTCGCCTAGACCAGATCAACACCTATGCTGTGAGGGACAAACGGAGCCCAGAGGAGAGAGGGTAGTTAGTAGAGCAGCTGAGATCAGAGCTGTAGATGAGGATAAAAGGATTCCCAGAAAATTTGACTCCTTTGCCTCCTTTTCCTTTACCTTTAAATACAGGTGTGTCATAAGAAGTCCTCACATTATCAAAATATGTTGATTTTATCTCCATGACATGCCTTTTGCTTGCAAGGAATATTGACTCATGTTATTTCAAGGAAGAGGAGGTCTACTGAAGTGATAAACACAACCCAGAAAAACAGAAAAACAGACTTCAGAAGAAGCAGAAATCAAGGGCCTGAACACTCTCTCATCTTCCTCTCTCTCTTGGCTTTTCTGTTTCTCTGTGAATATTTGCTCCTCTGGTCAGTTTTTCCTCTTCACTTGTCAGTTACTTCCTTATAATCTCTTCCCTCATGACCTGGCACTCATTGTACAAATCCCACAGTTTTCCATCACTTACCAGCCCCAGGTTCCCTTCATTCTCCTTTCTGTGCTTCTGGAGGCCCCACCCTCTTCTAAAGGTCTGCGCTAATCAGAATTCTTCGATCTCCCCAGAAGAACAGTGTGCACGTCCCGCAGTTTATTGGACCAGTTCCCTCTTCATGCACGGTTAGGTTGCATCCACGTTGTGCCAGTTGTAAACAGTGCCGCAGTGACCATTATAGAAGCTACTGGTTGCCATGCCGGCATCTATTTTCATCCTTTTTCATCATGAATACTTTGCTTTTCACTGGGAAGTTTCATCCTCCAGTCTGGAGCTTGGATGAGACTGAGAGTAGCCTCAGACCCTCCCTGATTTAAGCCAGATAATCAGGGCTGCTTTCCCCACCCCCTCACTATAAACACTTGGGAACACAGGGTAAGAGTTTACATTCCCACCAATAATGTGTGAAAGTGCCCAGTTCATTGCTCTCTCCCCACATTAGTGTTTATCTTTTCATTGCTATTGTTGGTGCCTTGAAATTAATGTTTAAAAAGATGTGTCTAATAATATTGACAGAGAAGCTCTAGCAAGACAGAACCAGGATACATGACTTCTACATCATTATAGAGAAGAACCTAGATCATTCACAAAGAAGATAGACATCATAAACCATAAGGCACCTTACAACAAATAAGCAAATATATATCAAGCAAAAACCAGAGGAAATACAAGGGAAAAGAAAAAATTATCATCATAGTGAGAAATGTTAACATTTCTCTGAGAGTATTTTATCAAGTGCAGAAAAAGCAAGCATAGGAGCATCTTGAATGATATAATTGATAATTTAAATGTAATAGATTTAGAATCTTATATCCTACACAAATATATTTAAAGCTTTGTATCTTATACATTTTTTTTAATGTCCATAGGATATTTAAAAAACTGGTAAAAAAGACAAATATTACTAAATTCCAAAAAGTAGAATTCTTGTTGGACATGTTCTTTGACTATAATATATTAAAATTGGAGGAAAAATCTAAACATGTGGATATACTTCTAAAATTCTAAATAATTTTTGGGTCAACTATAAAAACAAATACTGCTGGAAGTATGTCAGAAGAATAATGTATCTTGTCCAAACATATTTTATTACAGGAGTGCAAAACGAGCTAAACAGTAGGAAATGCATTAAGTCAGTGTTTATGTTAAATAGATTAAAAGAGAAAGACCATATTCTACAGACTAAGAAGGAATTTGATACAGCTATTCTAAATTAGAAATCTTCATAAAATAGAAGTAGAATGAAACTTCTTTAACATGAAAATGAATGTACATATGAAACAAAAAGCAATCGAGTCAGTTCCATTAAGTCAAGAGAAAGATAAGGTTGCCCACTATCCTTAATAAACACTGTCCAATCAATGCAATAAGACACGTTTTGTAAAGGAAGAGGCAGAATTATCATTATTTATGGATGATACAGTGTCACTTAGAAAATTCAAGAGAATTATCCAAAGAAGCTATTAGAATCAAAATAATTCAGTCAAGTGTCCTGATAAAAGATAAACACACAGAAATAGATAGTTTAATTTATATGTTAGCAGTAACAAATTAGGAAGTAAAATGGAAAAACTTGATTCACAAAAGCAAGAGGATTAATGTACGCACGGCAGCTAGCACAGTTCCTGGTAGAGAAGAGGTTATGTAAATAAGCTGTAATAATACAATACTGATTTTACAGATTCCTAGAGGTGAAATTACCAAGACAAAAAATACGTGTTTAAGATTCTCTATTTTTTAACAAGGATTCTTAATATATACATCTGAATTTTTTTAACTTTTTATTAAAGTATAATATACATATAGAACTCTGATAATCAGTGTGCCCAGATCAAGAAATAGAACCTCTCCAGCACCCCAGAAGTCCCTTGCATGTCCCTTCCTAGTCCCTAGTCATCTTCCTCCTGGAGGCACTTCTGACTTAGGACAACACAGAAGAGTTCTGCCTGTTTGGTACTTCATATGTACTCTCATGTCTGTCTCCTTTTGCTCAACATTATGTTTATGAGATTTATCCATATTTCTTGTGTGCTTATAGAGTATTCATATTGCTGTATAGTATTTCCTTGTATAAATATACCACAATTTTCCATTCTTCTGTTGACGAGCAATTGAGAAGTTTCCGGTGTGGGGCTATTTGAGAAGTGCTGCTCTGAGCACTGGAGTCTGTCTTTTGGCGACATAAGGACACTTTCCCGTTGCGTTCACCTACCTAGAGTGAAAAGGGCACGTGTTCACTCAGCTCCAGACGATACTGTCAAGCAGTCTTCCAAAGTGATTATACCAATTTACACCAGCAAAAGGAGCGTGTGAGAGCTCCAGTTGCTCCGCGTGCTTGCCCACGCTTTTTCGTTTGAGCCATCCTGATGGAAGTGTAGTAATATTGCACTATAGTTTTAATTTGCATTTCCCTGATGATCAGTGAAGTCAAGCTCCTTTTTATATGTTTAATGGCCACTTTGATATCTTGCTAAGTGCCAGTTAAGGATTTAGCTCATTTTCCTACTAGGTTGTTTTCTTTCCTGTTGATATGTTCATAATACAATCTTGCTACAAGTCCTTGGTTAGGTATGCATGTTGCAGTATCTTACCCCACTCTGTGGATTGTCTTTTTGAGTCTCTCAATAGTATCTTCTGGTGAACACAGTTCTTAATTTCAGTGTAGTTCAGTTTATCAAAATTTTGTTTTGTGGTTAATGCTTTTTCATGTCTTGTTTAAAAAAAAAAAACTTGATCTACTTCAGGTTCCACAAAGATGTTACTTTATGTTTTTTTCTAACCAAAATTGCTTTTTTTAGTACCATAAAATTATTGTCATATAGTTTTCTTTATGGCTGAATATGCAAAGATGATGGAAGTAATGTATCTTTCTGCGCTCAAGATGGGTAGAATATATCCAAATCCACCTGTTGAATTTTCTTTAAATAGCCCCCTAGAGCCACCTGAAGAGAGCTAGGAAACGCTTCCACTCTCACTGTTGCAGAAGGACCTAACATTCTTTAAGTGCAAATGCGCCTGGCTTGTAGTGACGTAGATTACGTCTCTCACATTTTCATCTTGATTCTCCTGCAGGAAATCCTCTTGTGAAACATCATGTGTTGTATTTGTCAAACATACAAATATCCAAGGGAAAAGACACCCTTTTTCAGCTGCCATGGTGGGGCATTGCTCTTAAGTATATGACAGTGCCTTGTGCTTTTCCAGTGTGACTTGTGGCATGAAACGCACCAAGATCCTTTTACCCAGTATGTCTAGTGTTAAATGAAGAAGAGAGTTTTGTGTGTTCTGGGCTTACTTTTCCAGTTCCTGCATATCATGATATGCTTTGTCATCCCATTTTTTTCTCCTTCGTCAGTGATTTTTATAAGCCATTCTTTGGATCAGATTGTATGTCTTTTGACAGCAGCTCCCCATCCACTTTTTCTTCTTGGCCCCGCATGTCAGGGCCCAGCTGTCCATCCTTACTGGGCTCTGAGAAGTCAGTCTGGGGCCCGGAAGTGGGGCCCGCCCGCTGGTGTGCAGACCTCCTGTAGTTCAGTAGCCGCCGGCTGATGTGGATTATCACGGGACATATAGTCTATGTTTTTTTTTTCCAAAACTGCATTCACATCAGTCTAATTGTTTTCTCAGAGACCGAGTCATTGACCAGCCTGAGCCAATTCCACACTGAAGGCCCTCAGTGCAAAAGCAGAGCTTCGGAATTCTGCAGGGAGCAGCAGGGAACATAAACAGCCATCCTGGTGTCCTTTCCACAGCAGCTCCATGTAGCAGTGGTCTGTGCTCGAAGCATCCAGTCCATTGGCCGTGGCCATGCTCCCCTGGGACCCCACGGGCCTGGAAGTGGAGGCAGACTAGGGACCCCAAACTGCTTTTTAAATTTTTTTAATTTAATTTAATTTTTTATTATTTATTTTACTTTATAATTATTTAATTCTTATTTTTTACTGAAGTGTGGTTGATGTACAATGTTAGTTTCAGGTATATAGCAAAGCAATTCAGTTATGCATGTACAGTCATATATATATTTTTTCAGATTCTTTTCCATTACAGCTCATTACAAGAAATTGAATATAGTTTCCTGTGCTATACAGGGGGACCTTGTTGTTTTATCTGTTTTATACATAGTAGTGTGTATCTGTTAGTCCCAAACTCCGTATCTATCCCTCCCCCCACTTTCCACCCCAATAACCACAGTTTGTTTTCTGTGTCCGTGAATCTATTTCTAGTTTGTAAATAAAATTTGTATTTTTTTTCAGATTCTATGTATAAGCGACATCATATGATATTTGTCTTTCTCCGTCTGACTTACTTAATATGATTATCTCTAGGTCCATCCATGTTACTGCATACGGCATTATTTCATTCACTTTTATGGCTGAGTAGTATTCCATTGTGTGTGTGTGTGTGTGTGTGTATATATATATATATATATATATACACATCTTTATCCATTTATCTGTCAATGGACATTTAGTATGTTTCCATATCTCGGCTATGATAAATAGTGCTGTTGTGAACATTGGGGTGCATGTGTCTTTTCAAATTAGAGTTTTCTCCAGATATGTACCCAGGAGTGGGATTGCTGGATCATATGGTAACTCTGTTTTTAGTCTTTTGAGGAACCTCCATATTGTCCTCCATAGTGGCTGCCCAAATTGCTTTCTAAAGTAGGTGGATGGTGAGATACACAGCCATTAGATACGAGTGAATGTTTGTTTTGTCATATGCATTCCACGCCCTAGTGAGTTCCCAGCTGGCCTGAGCATCCTGCCTGCTGGTCGTCCTGGAAGCAGGCCTGAGAGTTGAATGGTGCCTTACCTGTCCCTTTAATAGCTAGAGAGTTGCACCATTTACCAAATCAGACACTGTTCACAAAATGACCCCCTTACAGTATCACCCCTCTAGTAATGTGCTTGTTGAGAAGTGGTGGGGCGGGTGACACATCTTTTCCACTAACAGAGCTATTTCATCTGTCTCGGGGTGGCCTGTGCCAAGGCCATGCTGAAGCTCACTTGGAAAAGCAGTTAAAAATAATAATAGGTAATGTTTACCATGCACTTATTAATTGCTTTGTAGATATAGCATATTTATCAATAATATCAGTATCCATCAGTAATAGTATTTATTGCACAGTTATTAAGGCACTGTGCTGAGGGCTTTGTGTGTACTGTCTCACTTCATCTTCACAATAATTCTATGAGGCACGAATGATTGTTATCCCAGTTATAGAGACGAGGAAGCTGAGGTTCAGTGAGGTCCAGGGAATTTCCCAAAGGGACCTGACCAGTAAGTGTTGGAACTGACTGAATACCGGAAGCAGATGGAAAAGTAGGCCTGCCTGTTCACAGCCTGCAGCTAGCTCTCTAACCATACACGTGCATCTAACAGACAGGCTGTAAGCAAAACAAGCCAGTTTGCTGCAGTTGGAAAAGTCTTTCCTATAACCAACCATGCCAGTAGGGCTAGAATATTCCAGCAGTTGAAACTTCACAGTATAATTGCATCGCATGGCATGGAATACTCTTTGTGACCTAAGCCTTGCCTGCATCTGCAGCCCTCGACCCCTGTCTTTGGTCTTGCACCTGGTAGATGGTAGAGTCATGCTGCTTCCGCTGCCCTGACGTTTTCGTTGTGCTCACGGCTTTCTGACTTGAGACATACTGTTCTCTTTGCTTCAAATGCTCTTGCACTTGATGACTTGGCAGGTGCCTTTAAAATCCCGCTAGAATGTCATCTCTTCCAGTAAAACTTCCCTAATTTCCCTCCAACAGTGTTAACCGTTCTGTCCTCTGTATCAACCTCTGCACTTTGTATAAAAATGTATTGCTTACTCATTCATTCAACGTATTCATATTCTTTTCAGGCACTAGGCTAAATACTAGGAGACAGAGAGTCAAATAACACTTTGACTATGTGCTAAAGCGTGGGCATCAACTAGCTGCTGCCTGTGGTTCCCACCAGCTGAAATACAGAATAGGTTTCACTGGTTGGAGTGGATGGGGAGAGCGGATGCTAGGAGAAAAGCGTGGTAGGACATTGATTCAGCCCCAGCTTAGGAAAACGAGAGCTGGTGATACAGCTGGGCATTTATTTGGACCAGTGTTCACGCTGTGGAACAGGAAGACATCTGTTCAGCATCCTGGACTGATTTTGAGCCCTTGTGGGGAGAGGAGTCAGGACAATGCTGAGAGAGTTATTTGAAAAGGAGACTTGGCAATACTCTGGGCGTACGTTGTGCTGGCTGTGGAACGAGGGAAGGGCTGTCTCCTCAGCCCACGTAGAACCCAGCACTGCTGCATTCCCTTGAGCGGTAGCTCTCAGCACACTGGCTGGTAGCCCCCTGGGCTGGGGGTGCTGGCATTTCCACAGGGCCCAATCAGCAGTGGCAGGGGCTGCACCCTTAAGTGGCTTCATGAGTAGAGGTTATTGAAGAGGGGGAACCAGAGCAAGAAAGGAAGAAAAAAGCAGATGCTGCATGAAAGACTGGCTGACAGACTGGTCATTGCACCTGCTGAGGCACACCTGGGGCGTTCCACTTACAGCTGGGGCAAGAACATGAAGCTGGGCTACTGAGATGTGTCTATCTATATAAAAAATACTTATTTATACATCTTGGTAGATTAAGATTAAAAAAAAATCTTAAATCGTAACCACAAGCTATTGAGTCCTGGAGACACGAGTTAACACTTATCTGCGTTTGGGGAACTACGTCTTATTTCTCTTTTAAGTCCCAAGACCTGTCACAAAGCCTGACACACAGCAACTGCTGACAGAATTTGGGGGGATGTATTTAATAAAGGAGTTGGGAGGAATCAGAGCAGGGAGGGTGAGGAGCATCCGCATGTATGCACGTGCTTGAAAGGTGATGACTTCTTCCTGATCTGACCAGGCCCGGGACGGGAAACAGAAATGGGATCTGTGCCCTGGTTTCCGGCCCCTTTTGATTCTGCCAGTGTATGGGGATGCACTGAGACAAATTCCGTGGCAGTTAGAAAGTGAACTGGCTGCCAAGATGGAGAGGAAGGACCCAGTAACCTTTACCTTCTACCATCCCAAGGTTCCCAAAGTCAAGGGGAACCGGAAATACCAAAGGGTAAGAAGGTGCCTGACGTTGGTTCGGATGAGAGGAAGAGGACTTACCTGAAGGCGGGCCCAGACAGAGCATCCCAGAGATAGAGAAAAGCGGGCCCTGAAATGTTTGCTTTTTTACAGAAGGGCTAGGGAAGGAGCCACAGATGGAACCCACAGGGGGATGCTTGTGGTAGAGAAGAGCAGGAGACCCCAGGGATCAAGGGTTTTCTTTTATGAGTAGGCAATATTTCCCTCATCCCTCATCCTTGTAGCCTACTCTCCCCACCAACCAACATCCGAGTGCCTCGATGCCACCCCAGAGGCAGCAGCAGCATATGGATCAGACACACACCTACATCCGAATGTTCTGTGGCAGCCTCTGTGGCTTTAGTCTCCTCATGCTGATCTGCGTGTCCCCACTGAACTGGGTGCAGTTCCTGGTGATCAAGAATGGCCTGGAGCTCTACGCAGGACTCTGGATCTCGTGCCACGATGAGCTGTGCTGGAGCCGCACACCCAAGCCACCCTGTGAGTGCCTCTAAATTGATGCCACAGGCCCCACGGTTCCAGAGCTTTCTGCCACATTGGCCCTGCATCGTTCTTCCTCCAAGATCTTTTGGCCCTCACCTCTCCAAGTCCAGGAGGGATCTCAGCCGGACTGTGAGCCTAGCCACTCTTTTCTCTGGTGTCCTCAGCCTACCCTCTCTCCCTCCTACCCCAGTGGTTTCCTCTCCCAAATTCTGAGGTGGTATATCGTCTCTGTTCTCTGGGAAGAACTCGTTTGTCTTTTATGAGCTGTTCCTGTGAGCTGTGCCACGTGGGCTTGTGATTCTAATGCCGTTTGCAGAAAGAGACGGGCTTGATCATAGCTGGGAGATAAAGCAAAGTGTCTTTGCCTCCATCAGCTGTAACTCTGAGGGTCAGGTGGTTCTGCTGGCTAGAAGAGAAGTTGAGTGCGTGTCAGATACGCGTATAACAAATGCCGGCTATTTAGAGAGAAAATTACTGTCCAATTGCATGTGAATTTAAGTAAATCTGAAAATACAACACATAACATTTAAAAATAAGTTGCCAGGGCTAGAAGTTACCATATGCATGAGTTTTTCAACCAGAACCAAGACACAGAGAAAAAAATGTAACTACACTGAACAGTTTCCCCAATACCCACAGAGGTACACTTACACAAAGGAACAGGTTTTGTGAAAGAAGACACACACGAGTAAAGCGTTTACTTCTCCTTCTTAGATAAACAGGAATCCCAGGTTCAGGCGGGAGGGGGCACCTCGGCCCAGCCCTGGGATGGGGCATCAGTTACTTGGGAGAGGCTGTGGTTATTTGGAGCTAAGGGGCAGGGTCCTGAAACAAGATCTTGGGAGGAAACTAAATTCAAGGGCAGGCAGACATTTCAACTGCATCTTTAGCTAAAGATAAAAACTAGAGAAAGTAATTGCAATAAATATGAAAGATAAAAGGTTAATGGCCTTAATATATAAAATATATATAAGTCATTAGTATGAAAAAGACAAATACCCCAACAAATGAATTTTTGTAAGCAGGCAATTCACAAAACAAACTACAGATGTCTAAACATAGGGAAAATGACTTTCACCTCAGTCAGTCATTAAGGAATGGCAAACCAAATGAACGACGAGAGAGGATTTTTCTATCGTGACAGTAACAGTGATTTGTAAGTGGTAGTAAGTAAAGTACACGCTCCTGCGCGCACTGGGGACGCGTTAACAGGTGTAACCAAAGCAAAGTGCGTATCCAGAGGTTTACTCTCGCTAATTCCATTTCTAGAGAGATGGAGTAGGAGACAATAGCCATAAAAATTGAGCTGCAGTTATGTTTATGTAACCGGGTACACCGGCTGGATCTCAGGCCTTGAGATTGTTATTTAAATGTATAGTGAGTCAGAATCTTGAGATGTTACAAAGCAGCAAATAGTCTGTTTCTTGGAGCCTTGAATTCACCTATCACGCCAACTGTTCATTGTTCAGAGAATGTCAGCTAAGTGAGTCCTTCGGGGGCACAGTTGTAAGTCAAGTGTCCACCCTATTTCCAGTGTTAACTAGTCCTAGTTCTAGGGTCAGTCATGAGGCTGCCGTACAGATCTCACAAGGAATTCCCCAAATGTAATCAGCATGTCCAGGCCTCGTCAGCCTGTGATGATAGCATGTTATTATTGCCCAAATTCAAGAACCTCAAACTTTTACCTACTGCATTGCAAGAATTCAGCCCCCTCTCCCATGGTGTCCCCAGTCATTTCTGAGCGCTCCACCAGGCTGTCTTGGGTAGACTCGTGTTCCTACGTCCTGGACTCACTTCAGGCCATTGTGCCTCTGCTTCTGACCCCACCTGGTTCTAGATAATGGCTACACCTGGTTCTAGATAACAGCTAGCCTCTGAGCTGTAGCTACTGTCGGTGGGAGGAAGAAAGCGTGGGGAGTAAAGAACACCAGCCTTCACTTTCACTGCTAGATCTCAGTGTGGAACAGACTCTTCTGCTAATTTCCCCCACGGCAGAGGTGAGATCAGACCACAACGTACAGAAGTGTGTTGCTGCAGAGAGTAACTCGAGCTGTTTTGCAGAGGGTGGGGAAGAAAGCATAGGTCTTTTGGTCCAGAGCCAGGACCCCAGAAACCATCCCACAATAAGCATCGGCAAGGCATGCAGGGGTGTTTAGTTCTGGTATAGCAACCGGGTAACAAGGGATTCTAAATACTGAACAGATTTCAAAGTTTCCTCTGCAGGGAGCTAGGTATCCATCTAGGATCTTCTCCATTCCAAAACCACCTCCTCTGGGCACTGTCCCTGAGTCTGGGAGTCTTGTCTTGACCTTATGTGCCTGGAATGAAGACGCAAGGGTGGCAGCATGTAGGGTGTTTTTGTTTTTTAATTTTTATTTATTTATTTTTTAACTGAGGTTCTGGGGATTGAACTCAGGACCCTGTGCATGCCAAGCACGCTACCACTGAGCTATACCCACCCTGCAGCATGGAGGTTTAAATTGGCCAGACAAGTGGGCTGGTTCCCCAGCTTCTCTCCAGCAGCACCTTCCTCATCCTCAAAATCCATGTCTACATCCCACCTCCATCCACTCAATCTGGCTCCGTCGCAGTTAAAAGGGGCTAGATCCTTCTGGAGCACCACTTCCCCATCCAGGCTTTGACTTCTGCTGAAGGACCCACGGTGAGGTAAAGAGAGCCTCTTTGGAACATCTGAGTACCAGGTATCTTCTCTCCTCTGCTTCTTTCCCCTCATGTCATCTTGGCTCCCCCACTGCTTCCTTCCAGGGCTTCAACAGCCTTAACAGAGAAGAGCATCTCGTATGAACCAAGCCTGTTTGCTCACAGGAGTGGGATGACTTACTGCCTGCACCTCTCGCTTTCCAGAACTTTCCCAGCAAAGTTTCACTTTCATAATGGTAGAGAAGGATCCTGCCTGTCCATCAGTTACCAAGTGCTTTCTCAGTTACGTGGTTTCTCAGTTCCCTGGGAGACACTGCCGCTCCCTGGCTGGGTACTGGCCTCTCCGGTCTTGGTAGCTTTCACATCCTACCTCATGGTGCTCTGAAGGGCACAGTTACTGAAGGGATGATCCTGGGCACCCCAGCAAGGACGTTAGCAAATTTTTCAAGTGGCTCGTACTTCTTCCTGCCCGAGCTGAAAGTGACAGGCCCTCTCTTCCAGGGCATAACCTCACTGCCTTCAGGAACGAGGAGTCACTTGCTGTTCCTGCAACTGATGTCCACATCAAGCATGTCATTAAGGAAAGCTTCAGCAGTGTTTGGATACAGGTGACCCACCTGGGTTTTCCTCGTATCGAGGGCACCCTTCTCTCTTTGGACCGAGGCTTCTTACTGACGTGTACAAGTAGCACCTTTGTGATCAGGTTCTAAAATTTTTGAATCTTTAATGGGTGAGCAGCTATAAAAACTGTTGTTTAAAAGCTGAAATAGATTTTGATCTTACAGGAGATAGAGGTGAGGCTTGAATTCCACTTTCAGGTTTTGTGTTGTTTGGTCACATGAATCTTAAAAACTATGAAGTTAACCAAATGCAGCTATTTTAGACTCTGAAGCGAAGTGTTTACTTAGTTTGGTTAGATAATCTGTTGTGTATCATCATGACTGAGAGACTTGGTTCCCTTGAGGGGTCAGACTGGGCTGTGCCGCAGATTTGTAGCTGTTCCTGTGGAGTGATGAGTGATCTCGTCTGTGTAGTTTTCAGGATATGAGGGGCTAAGAGAGAACTGTAAAAAGAACGTGAAAGTGCAGGCTTCCCCTCATGGTGGAAGGAAGGCTGGACTGTAACACATCTTAAGCAGGAAGTGGACTGGATGTCTTAGACAGTACTCTTTTGTGTTTTAAATACCAGAGCCCATTTGAGCTGGCCTAAGCTAAAGAGTGAACTTATTTACAAAGATTTGGAAGAATCTCGTAGACTCCCAGGGGCGGGTCATTTGCTGGACCTTAGGGGACTCGAGAGGAGGCTGTGATCTCAGACAAAGAAGATCAAGCCAGCCAGTCACTCAGTCTCTCTAGCACTCCTTTGTCGTTCATCTTTGTTTATGCTTTGTTTTGTCGCGACCGCTCAGCGTTTCCTGTTCATTAGTGTGGAAGTGCCTGAACAGTGATGTCCCAGGCCAGTTGTTTTACATCTTCTTGATTCAAGCAAGCAAAGGAGAAAATTAGCATCAATCAGCCTCACATCCAAATATCCAAGCAAAAGAATTGAATCGGTTCAATGTGGGTCAGATACCCTTCCTTGGTCCTAGGAGCTATAGTCAAGGTGGCCATAGGCAAGGGTCCAGGGCTGTATGTAGGGGCTGCTGGGGCCCACAAGGGACTGTGGGCTTCATGCTTCAAAAGATGCCCGTCACCCTGGGCTTCATCCAGCTCAGTCTAGGCTGACGGTTCTGACTGGCTATATATTCCATTTATCCTGAATGACCTAGGTTTCAAAAAATGTGCTGCCCTTGGGTTATATGTTTTAATGTGACTAACTTGTTGGAGCCACAGAGCAACTGACCTCTGTGGGTAGGAGTATGGTTTTTCTTAATGGAAATTACTATTTTTGATCATGGTAGCCAGTGATATATTGTAGAGAACAAAATAAAACTGAAGAATCGGATCATAGATTGGTATAAACTTTGTACATAATTTCTTCTCTCTAGGTTACTTGCAAGCGTGACTTGAACCCTTAGGTATGGAAGTTCTTAGAGAAGTTCCAGGGTAGGGATGAGCTGGCCATTGCTACAGTGAGATGTAAAATAAGCTAGACCAGGAAGCACCCTAAAAAAGATATTGAAGATACTACAGTATCTCTGAAAAGATGCATCTACTTGTAATTCTAAGCTACTCTATTTCTTAAGTCTTCAGTAAAACATTGCTGGGGAAGTCAAGGGAAGGATCTATTCCATGTTAGGGATGTGATAGCAACAAGTAAGAGTCAGCATGTCCCCGCTTCTCACTTAACAGCATCCAGTCAGTAGGGGCCAGAGCCAAAGAGAGCAGAGCCCTGGAGCCAAGAGCTGAGAGGAGGAGTGTTATGGCACTTGGGTCAGGGCACTGGAGCAAAATAACTTTAGCAGACCTCTGCTTGAACACAGGTGAGATGCGACCTTGACTCTCAAGAAAAAAAAAAAAAGAGGGAGGGAGAGATTTGGGGGTGTTAAATTCCACAATCAGTAAGTTGGGGCTTGAAATCATTGCAATATGGGAGTTAACGTGAGTGTGACCTCACTTTGTGGTCACAGCTGACAAAGACTGTGCATGCCGGATACATTTGAAAGAGAAAAGCCAAACAGAAACAAATTCCAACAATGATACAGTCACTAAGTGAAGTGTTGTGACGTGATACACTATCTTGTAGTCATTAGAAGTGATGCTTACAACAGGTGATCCCGGAAAGCATCTTGCCATATAATTTTTTTTAAAAAAATGTGAAATTCAGTATCATATGTACAGAGGATAGGAAAATGCCAGAAAGAAACCACATAAAAGGCCAACGACTGTCTCCGGGCGGTGGGTGTGGCTGAGTTTCTTCTGCTCCTGGGAACTTCCGTAGTCTCTCCAACGCTCATACTGAACGTGTATTACTTTTAGAACTGGAATTAGGAACAAAACAAAGTTTAAATTTGTGTTGTGATATTAAGAGTCACACCTCTGGTAAGTTGGTTAACGTGTTAACGTACCCGGAACTACTTGCATATTATCTTTAATTTTACAGTGAAGAGGTTGCCTTCATAGTAAAAGGACCCAGGGATCAGTGAAGAGCTGGGAGAGATCTTTACCTGTGCCCTGGTGCCACAGAGCAAGCTCAGCTGCTTCGTCTTCACTCCCTTCTATCCGACTCTGCCTGGTTTTCTTCAGGAGAGGTCCCCCACCAGACTGACAGAGCCTGTCCTTTCTCTTCTCCTTGGCAGATTACCTCCAATATTCCAGGGCCTTCTTCCTCATCTCTGTCCTCACCATCCTCATTGGCCTTGGCTGGCTCTTCAGCGCTTGCCTCCCTAGGACAGGAAGCACGACCACTAACTTGGACCTGAAGGTGTCCGTGCTCAGCTTCATCTCAGGTGCAGACCTGGACGGGCAGGGTGATACCATGGTAACATGCTCAAGGGAGCTAAGTTCCTCTGTGGGGGGCTTTCATCCTCTTTTTCTTGCTCCCTTTCTCGTCTCCAAAGTCACATCAAGTTGTCAGCTCCCTGCCCTGTCTTAAGTCACGTTAGTTGACTTAAGCCAGGGAAGAGCAGAGCTGCTCTCTCTCCCCCACAGTGATCTGTCCTCAAAGTTCTATCCTTTCGACCCTTTCTGTACAATATACAGAATGGTGTCTGGAAATAAAAGAGCTGGGGGTGGCGGTCAAGGCTGACTGAAGACACTGATGGGATGTGGCATGTTTTCTTCTGATCCTAGCCTCCTGCTTGCTTCTCTGCCTCATCCTATTTCTGGCACAGGTTCACTGGCACACTAGGGAGGCCATGGAGTCAGCCTTCCTGTGGACCTATCATCTTAACTGGGGGAGTGACTTCTTATACACGTTTGCTGGTGAGTCAGTCCCCTCCCTGCCTCATGCTAGACGGAGGGAAGGGGAACTCACTTCTGGAAAGGGAGGCAGAATCTAGGAGAAATAGAAGCATAACTGTTCCTATTAAGGACACATGGACATCAAGAGGCAGTGTATGGTAAAGAGAGCATGGGTTTTGGAGTGAGAAAACCTACAGTTAGTAACCTGTTCTGCCACTAACTGAGGCAAAGACAGGTTGAGTCACTTGCCCAAGACCACAGAGAAAGTAGTGGAACTACCATTTGCATCCAAGAGGTTCAAGCTTTGCCCCAACCATGTGAAAAATACCATAATGAAATGAGAACACAGGAGAGTGAAGGAACCCGGCTGGGGGAGGGAGGACTGGCTTCACTGAGAGGCCTTCAAAAGAGGCCTTTTGAGCTGAGTATTTAAAAGATGAGTGAGAGTTTTAAAAGCCCAAAGACCATCTGTCTATTGAAACTCACCTCGAATTCTTCTCTTCCCTTAGGGATCCTCTCTTTCCTCAACTACCTAACTTCCAGAGCTCCTCCTCTTGATCAAAATGTCATTGCAATTCCCACAGAGAAGTCGAGGCTGGGGATTGGTCCAGTGACTCCAGCACAACCTGCAGAAGATGCAGTGTCAAGGTCTCAGACAGAATCTACAAGTGAGAGACAGGAAAATCCACCAAGTGCAGAGCTGTGATGGTGACAGGACATTCCAGTGACTGCTTGTCTAAAACGCAGGGGAGATGCTTGCTGAGTAGGGAATGATTGTACAGATTCGAGGAAACCCCTCTGGTATCATGTCCGTATCACCGAAGGAGACAGCATTAAAGCTGATGAGATGTCCTTTGTGTATGCTGCATCCAGAATATGCATGATCCTCGTAAAGAAAGTAATGAAAATCACTTAAGAAAAAATTTTTAAAAGGAAACACCAGTGTTCAGGGTCACGAGTGAAGGAAACTAGCAGCAGGCGCAGTGCGTGAGGCAGAGCTCTCTCTCAGCACCAGGGATCTCATGGACCACAACGGTCCATGCAGAATGCCACCAGATTCTATTTGAAGTTTTTTTATCATGTGTGGCTCTGGGCACACTCAGGATGGAAGGCATTTGGACCGCAGTGCTGAATCTGAATGGAGGCCACTACCAGAAGTGGAATGGACAGCAGCAGAGATAATGCCCACCACCCAGAGGGGCTGGGGGTTGCTGGGTAGACTCTGGAAAATCGTGAAACCCCGCTTCCTGTGAGGGCTGGCAATCTGAAACCCTTACAGCCTGTTGTGTGAGCCTACGACTCCTCCCTAGGCTGGGGGATGCCTTAATCAGGCATCTATAAACTCTCTGAAATTCCATGCAGACCTTGTGCACGCACTTTTCTGTAAAGGAGCCGTCAGATTCTTGATAGGCCTTTGCCTCTTTTTGTTCCTAAGGCATCAGCTCTGTTCGACTGAGCCGGATGAGGCTTAAAGGGCTTTCTTCAGCCTGAGTGTGCATGTGGACCAAGTTAAAACCCTTTTCCATGTTCTGTATACTGTGTAAGACTGCGTAGGGGTGGGAGCATTCAGGCGATAACATAATCTTTTTTTTTTCGGTGGAGGCCGGTCATTCGATTCATTTACTTATTTATTTTTGGAGGAGGTTCTGGGGATTGAACCCAGGACCTCGTGCACACTAAGCATGTGCTCTGCCACCTTCCCCTCACATAATCTTTTGATGGCTACAGTTCCCCTTTAAACTCAGACCATTTTCCATGCAAAAGGCCCCCAACATTCATTCTGTGTTTTATTCCTTTAGTAGCCGCCACTACTGTTCTGTTGGCTGAGGTTCATTCTCCTCAAGCCTGGCGCAGGAATGGGCCACAGTGCCCAGCTTCATCCCCTCGCTGCTCTTAAAGCTCAGCCCCGGGGTCCTTTTGGTTAAGAGATTCACTGGTAACCTGTGTAGAAAACAAAGGTGATAGTTCTTATAATCCTGGCCCCTGGTGAGTAACTTTCAAACACTTCCAGATGGTAGCTGGAAGACCCCTAGGTTAGTACTTCTGCTTGTGTTCCTAAAGGTGTGAGCTAAGCAGCACACGCACACGTGCACCCACACACAGAAACAAGCACCGTGCTGGGTGCTGAGTGTGCACAGCCTGGTAGGCTGTGTCCTTGCTGCTGAAGGTGGTCACGGACCAGAAGGAGACACAGACAGGCAAATGGCAAAACTATGTGATAAAGGTTATGAAAGGGCCAGTACAAAATGCTGTCATTCAGCATTCTGGCACTGAGGGCTGGTTTCAGGGAAGGCGCCCCCAGAAAGGTAAGACTAAGATGAATCTTGGCTCATGTTAACAAAGATGAGCCGGGAAGTGTGACAGGTGCAAAACAGGGACCTTGTTGGGCTAGGAAACTGCAAGAAGAGTGAAGCAGTTTGGAGCACAGGGAGCAAAGGAGGGAGAGAAGCGGTCTAGATGTCACTGAGCTTTTTGCTCCATGACATTACGGCCCACGTCTCGCAGGAAACAGAGGACTTGGCTCAGACGGGTGAATCTATATGTTAAGGGACTATTTACAAGGTCCCCTTAGAATTGAAAAAGATTTGGGGAAACGTCAGCGGGAAGAGTCATTACTGCTCCGAAGCCTGCTCAAGAAGTGAAAGGAGGAGTTACCAGAATCCAGAAGGGTGGCTCTGTGGCGAGGGCGCCTGTCAGGGGCTCTACCCTGGACCGCCCTCAGCAGGCAGGGAGGAGAGAAACAGTGAATTAACACAATGATCCTCACACCTCTGATCTTTGCCCCTGCCTGTCATTGGTCACACCTAATCTAGGGCTGGATGGATGGCAAGAAAGCTATTGAATACTCCAGTCTTCTGGAGCAAGGATGGAGAGTAGATCTGGAGGGGCACATGGAAAATCTCCAGCAAATCACTGCATCCTCAGACCTAACACAATACCTGGCACAGAGGAGGTACTGAATGACTGAATGAGGTTGGAGAGTGAGCAGAAACCCCATCTTTCTAGGTTTTTACCAATTCATGTTAACATGATTTTGCTTCATAGTTGTGGGGAGCAATCAGAGTATTTTAAGCAAAAGGGAGACATAATTAGATTTGCATTTTAGAGGCATCAATCTTGGTAACTTTGTGGAGAATAAATGGAAAGAACAAACCTGGAAGCGGAGAGACCAGGTAAAAAGCTGTTGTGACAATCCAGGACAGAGATGCCAAAGGGATGTTCTAAAGAAGTGGAAACAAAAATACAAGATCGGCTCGAGAACATTAAAGACGTGGAATTGCCAGAACACGTGTGATTGACTGGTGGGAGTTAAGGGTACAGGACCGGGGGGCAGGACGGAAAGAGGATGACTATGTTTCTCGAAGACCTCTTGGATGTTAGTGTGTCTTGAGAAATCCAGGCTTGGCAGACAGGTTGCTGTAGGAATCTGGAGTTCAGCGGAGACCTGGGCGGGAGAAAGGGATTGGATCAGATCTGGCAAGTAAGACAGAGACATTGGACTTGTGCTTTGTGTCTGGACTCCTGTGGGTTCTGTCCCCTGGGGCGGGGGGAGGGGCAGGAAAGGGTGTTAGAGCCGAAGGGATTGGGTTCCACGGCAGTTGAGAAGAGCAGTGAGCCAGAAGCTAGGACGGAGAGGAGAGAAGGAAATGACATGACCTTCCCAGCAGAACGAGCTTCCCAACCTACAGGGTGAGGAGGCCTTTTGTAGGCTGGGTAGGGGTGGCGTCCTTTTGGAGGAAGCATTTTGTGTGTGTCAAGGTGGGGGAGGGGGGTGTCAAGGGGAAGGAGTCAAGGTGGAGCAAATCTCACTTCGTTTTTTTAAGCTGGGGACAGGTGAAATGAATATATATTTTTAAGTAATATCGAAAAGTAGAAACTTGTGGGAGGCTCTGGAGCCAGAGAAGAGAAAGACTGAAGTGTGGAGGGAGGAGGAGGCCCCCCCAGGACAGGACGCAGGGCTTGTCCTCTCGGTGAGTGGAGGTGCAGACGCCTGGGATGCCCTTCCTTCCGTGACGTCCTCCTCCTTCCCCACCACAGCCAGTTCTCCCCACAGGCACCGCTTCTCTTCCATGCCGCCCGGTCAGCGACGGCTCCTGGAGAAGACCCGCCGCTACATTCACATCTTCTGTGCCTGCCTCCTGGGCTTCAACTGTGTCCTGCTGCTCTACCTGTCCCCTTCACACTGGGTGCAGTTCACAGTGCCGAAGGACAGGCAGAGGCTCCTGGCTGGGCTCTGGACCGTGTGCCATCACGATCTCTGCTGGAGCCACACACCGAAGCCACCCTGTGCGTGCTTTCTAAATCCCAGCCCCTTCCTTTGATGGGCCCAGTCAGTTCCCCTGTAACTCACCACTCTCCTTTCTCCTCTCCACAACCCTGCTCCTTCTCTCCCTCACTGACTCACAGGCATGTAATGACAGCTTCTCCAAATAGGCTAAGTTTGCCCAAGTTTGTCTTAACTGGCCTCCTCTGATGACTTAAAAGCCTCTTAATTATCGGAAGCTAATGCCCAGGGACCTTTGCACTCACAACTGCCCTCAGAAGAAGAAATGGTAGTCATTAGCACCTTAGTATGAAAGTGACTTCATAATTTATTTCTCAAGGTGATAGTTACAATTTCAACTCTCTCTCTCATTTTGGAATAAATCATTTATTTACTTGTTAAAGGAATTCCACATGTCAGTGAGGAGATGGGAAGAGGGTCCTTACTGGTGCCTGTGAAGCCACTCACTTGGTGGCTCCTTATTCTGACTCCATTGCATGTAAGACACGCCCTGATTCCATCCTCCTTTGTCCCTCACTCCCTTCCCAAAACCCTGTCTAGCCTTTTTGTTTTTCTCTTAAAAAAACTTTCATAATAAAATGTATTACCTAAACTGGTGGTTAAAAAATGTATGTAAAGTAGAATTCTGCGCAGCGGAAAAATAAAGCCAGAGACTATTCTCCAACCCCTGGTTTATGCAAAGACACTGGGTGTCCATAGACATGAAGAGGCAGGAGGTACGAGTTCCGGTCCCGGCCCCAGATACAGGTAAGGTAAGCTGCTGTCTAGCCTTCTTTAAGGGCAGGTCACCTCCGCTCCATCCAAGCCTCTCCTTTCCCTCTTCCCCTGGCTGACTACCTACAATACTCCAGGGCCTTCTTCCTCGTCTCTGCCCTCACCATCCTCATTACTGTTATACAGTTCAGCATCTCTCTCACCAAAGGGCCAGGAGACAGAACCTTCCTAGGTCTGGGCATGTCCATCTCCTGTTTCAACTCAGGTACAACTCAATGAGGTCGGAAGAGTTTTCCTAGAGTCCTTGTATTTCTTCCCCTCCCAGTGCCATTTCCCTTCTTTTACCGAGGCATTCCCAGCCTCCCATGAACCCTGAGATCATAGGACCCTTGTCTCTTTCCAAAGGGAGGAAAGCTTTCAATAAACTTTCCCTCCTTACAGGGTTACTGCCTCTTAAATAGGGGACCTGGAAGAGAGTGTGCTTAATCCAATGGAAACGTCTCTAAGAGTTGTGATCTGAGAGACTGCTGGGAAGATGGTACAGGCTGGATGCCCTTCTGGTGCCCAGAAATTCACCTAGCTGCCTCTTCCGTCCGTCTTACCTGTAGGCTCCACCTTGACGACTTTATTCCAGTCAAACCAGAAGACTTTTGCCAAATGGGTCTCCCCATGACCACTGCCACATAATAGGCCTCCATGGATTACCTGAGATGGCGGAGGGTGACCGCAAGTGCAGAGAGACGAAGAGGAACGGGAAGGCTGGCAGGAGGAGGGTTATCGTGGGCAGTGACAACTCTCATCGTGATCCCGGGCGCCTGCCTTCTTTTCTCCCTCACCTTGTTCCTGATGAAATTGAAACTGTACAGTAGCAGCGTCTCGGAGCCCCTTTTCCTGCTAGTCTACCACGTCAATTGGTGGGGCAGTGTTTTCTATCTGATAGTTGGTGAGTTGAGGCTCCTGGTGAGTAGTGAAAGCACAGAAAAAGCCGCTCTCCATGACAGGTCCTTCTCTCCATCTCTTTTTCCCTTTCTTTTGCTTGTTTGTTTAGTATATTAGAATCTCATAGTTTGAAAGGGTCAGGCAAGAGTCATTTTCAAGTCAATGAACAATTCTATTGCAGGTGCTTCCAATTTACCTAAAACATTTTTTTCTGTAATGATACCTGACCCTGAAAACATGGGAGCAAGATTCAGGAAGTAGAGGAAGAAGGCAAAGCTATAACTGAGCTATTCACAGTTCTTCCCTTCTTCCAGAAGACAGTTCCTAAATTCTCCTCTCTATCGTATCAAATAACCTCTCCACCTTTATGGATCTGCAGAATAAAGCAGAGCAAAAGCATTGGAGTTTTGCCCGTCTAACACTTCTCCATTAATCCTTCTAAGCCACATTTTTATTTTTATTAACTACAGCAGTTTCTCCAAGCCGTTGTATCACACAGTCTATTAGTAAGACACTTTTTTAGCAAGCATTCCCAAGGGATATATGTTTATTTATAAAATATGTACATGTATTACAGTACTAATATAGTCATTACATTGGAAAATACACTCAAAATAGAATGTAAAATATTTGCTAAAAATTTTTAAAAGAAGCTATTTTCTTCCTGTGCCCTGATAAACTGGCTTGCATACCCGCTGGGAGACACTGTACTACAGAAAAGCTGGGGGCAATGTTTTGAATCCCAAGCTCCTAAAGATAATGAACAGGACATTCAGAAAAGTACTATTAGTCAAATTACACTATAATTAAGCCAGCACTAGTCTTCAGGGGTGTTCGATGACTTGAGACTATATCTGTTACTCATCCACAGTGCTAACCCCAACCTTTTCTTTTTCTCTAAGGTTCCTCTCTGGACTCAGTCACCTCAGTTCTCAGGTTTCTCTCCCAGATCGAAATCTTCTCATGGTCCCTATAACATGGACAAGGATAGGAAATTTAGCCACAGTGGAATTGGATCTCTCTGAGGCAAATGTGGGTGTTTCTCCATGGGTGAATCAGACACCAGAAAGACAGTTAGGCTCGGTGGCGGAACCCAGGACCCAAACAGAGGCAGGGACCCAGACAGAGCCAGAGATAGGAAATGACTCAGTAATAAAGGATCAGGCAAGGTTAGCTACTGACGCAGAACCAGTTGGCACAGCGGAGTTGAGGCGTGAGGCGGAGAAAACAGGGAATGTGAACAGGTCAAGCAATAGACTTGGGGGCCATGAAGAGAAAATGTCTGAAGACAAGGGTGATGAAGACCGAGTCAGCTGAGAAAAATGATGATAACAAGACAAGAAAAGTTAATCGTAGATACAGGATAGCAGAAGGAAAGGAAAGGAAATGAAGGAAAGGAAAGGCGGAAGGAAAAAAACCTGCCAGAGAGAGTTCCCCTCAGAGCTGAAGACACTTTGCTGCATCATGTGAAGAGCAGCAGGTGTATCCGCGGAGGCTCTGAGGTGACAGTGTGGTGACTGTTGGGTTGAGCCCTCCCTGTGTGACGCCTCATTCACTGAATAGGCTGATATTATGGATGAAAGAGAGTCATGTGCACAATTCAGGTCACAGGTACCAACAACCTAAGAGTCACAAAGTGATGAAAATCTTGTTAAAAGACACTTCCACGTTCGTGTTGTGTGCTGTGACTGGGAAAGGCTGCAAGAGATGGGATGCCCAAGCCACCAAGTCTTTCCCGATTTCCACGACAACACAAGGGACCATCTCAGCAGGATGGAAAGTGCATCCAGTTTGGCAACTCAGACTCTCATTCTTGGGCCGCACTCCCCTAATGAGTAAGGCTGACTTTTGGCAAACATTTAACTTTCTTGGCCGGAAAATCCTTCATTGACCAACAAGGCTCTGAAATTTCCTCTAGTGCTGTTTATGGCCATAAACGATGAACAACAGAGACATTATTCCTGCTGGCTCATACCACCCCAAGTTATTTTAGCAAGTAACTTAGTCTAGTCAGAGTCACTGAATTCAGCTCTCTGCCTCCAAGGCTACTTTTGGCGAGTCACTTCTTGTTGTTTTTTTAATTTAGATATCTCATTTTTAAAATGTAGGTGATTCCCATGGTTTTCAACTATTTGTGGGAATTGGAAAGGAAGGAAAAAGATAAAGGCGAAAGGACCCAGACTCTCTGAAAGAGTTCACGGTCTAGACTCAGGGAATTTCAGTGAGGCTTGACACGGTTTTGCATAAGGGATTGTGGCCCTTGAGACTGGAAGCTATTTTTTTGACTGGCAATATTAGTAGTTTACCATGAAAACCCACTCTTAACTCTTTAAATGTTCACTATTTTACTATTTTATGCCTTCTTTTACCTCTTACTAGTTAAATTCTGTGGCTCTTAATTTTACCATCTTTAAAAGTGTCCTCAAGAAATAATACCATCCCCATCCCACACGTTTGACTTTCTGGACCATTAGGTAAGGAACCAGGAGAGAGAGCAAAGGATGGACACGGCAGGGAGCATTCAGAGGTACTCCTCCCGCTAAGTGTGGAATAAC